TGGTGGTACAGTATCTGTGCTGTGGTCTGACCTGCTGGTGGTACAGTATCTGTGCTGTGGTCTGACCTGCTGGTAGTACAGTATCTGTGCTGTAGTCTAATCTGCGGGTGATACAGTATCGGTGCTGAAGTCAGATCTGCCAGTGGAGCATCAGGAAAGCTGACCTCTGAGGAATAATGTAGATGGAGGTAAGTGTTTTTTCCTTTAATGACTTTTGTTTATTGATTTGTGTCCATTTGTAATATAATTATAAGAAATGCATTTTTCTGTTGATGCAGGTAAGAATTAAGGAGTTTTTAAGTCATTGCCGGATTGCCTTCAAGGGCTCTGCTGTCTTTAGGTTTTAAAGGGTCTAATACAGTTTTTATAATTCCCTTTGTGATCCTAATTGTATAAATTACTCCACCTGTTTTATACCAAAGGCCATCAGTTGTCAGACTGTCCTGGTCACTCTCTAGAAGCGAGGCAGATTTGCTCAAATTCATGTACTCTTAATGAATGTACAGATTTGACTCAATTGTGCCCTGTGGTGGACTGGTGTCCAGGGTATACCCTGCCTTGCACCTACTGCTTGCCAGGATAAGCTTTTTTATGATTAACGCCTGGTCAGGTTCAGTATAACGGGGACAGTGTTTTTCTGGGAGCAGTGGGGAGATATTTTAAAGCTGTCAGGTGAATCCAGGGTCTGAGAGCTTGCTGTCTTCTGAAAGCACTGAAGCCAGAGGAAGGGGGAACCCAGCACAGATTCTTGGCTGTTTGATTGTCCTTGTGAGGGTTCCTGAGCGTTTCAGTCAGGACTTGTGCGTCACAGTCAGGTCTCACAGGATGGGGACGAGTCTTGGCGAGAGGCTGTGCTGTGCGTTTCTCACTGACAGTGAGGCTGAGCAGAAAAGAGCTTGACACCTGCCCTTTTCCACTTTAATCCATTAGTCTATTTCTGGATTTTATTACATTTGGTTTCTGCAACATTAGAATGCTGCAGTGGACATTTGAATTAGGCTGGCATGTGCACAAGTTAATTTCAGTTCACTTGGTTGAGATGCTCCGCTTTCAAATGGCTTCTCCATAATCTTATGTTCCTTTAGCTTCCTCTGTGCATTCTGGTCTCTGAAAGGTTAACATGAGGGAGCAGGAGGAATAAACAGTGATCACCCCAGCCTTTCTAAACCTGCCCTAATTGAACTGTGACCGATTTTCCTAAAAGCCCTGTGCCTGTGGTTCAGATCGATGTGATTTGTCTTGCTGAGTGTCAGGGAGATTATTTCAGCCCTGCACATTATCTCTGATGACTATCTTCAGTCACTGAGCATGCACTGTAGATTCAACTTGCTCTCTAAATTGAAATGAAGTCCATTTTTTTTAACTTTTTGTATCTTTTTGAACAAAATGTCTTTTCATTCTCATGCCCTGGAAATAAAAAAAACTTGAAACTGCAGTTTGAGTGTGAAGGTGAGGTGGTTAAGGCATTTCTTGTGCCCCAGGTCAAAGGACACTGTCTCCTGTCTCAGTGATGAGAGGACAGTGGACACTGTGCCTCCTGTCCCTGTGATGAGAGGACAGTGGACACTGTGTCTCCTGTCTCCTGTCCCTGTGATGAGAAGACAGTGGACACTGTTTCCTGCAGCAGGTTCAGTCTAAGGCTGTGTCTCTTTTATTTTTGGTGAGGAGCATCCAGACCTTGAATCCATAGTAACTCTACTCTGTGCACTACCATAGAGAGAATTTTTCAATAGAGTGATTCATTTTGTGCTCCTTTGCTTATTTCTGAAAACTTAAGACTAAATACTATAAACTGGTTCACAAAAAAAGAATGTGATGATTC